TCTGATGAATATTTACTACATCAGGAGAATGTGACTAACTCGGATCATGCTATTGCCGAATGGATGAACAATTTTGCAGTCAATAGAGTCAGCACATTGGAACTAGATTTGGATGGTTCCCATATGTCAGATAATATAAGATATTCAGATCAAGAGAAGACAATTAAATTAGAGGTTGTTGAAGACCCTATGTATCAATCTATTAACTTGGGTACCAATGAAATACCACAGCTAATTAAAATATATGCCGGTATTATTGGTACAGAATTAGATGCCTGGAAACAGTTTTTCATCTGTCACAAATCTGCCTATGCGTGGTTGTATGCGGATTTAAAAGGGATTCTAGTTGACGTGTGTGAGCACCAGATTATTTTGGAGGAGGGTGTTATGCCAATTCGTCAAAGACAACACCGGCTTAACCCAAAATATTTCCTTTTAGTGAAAGAGGAATTGGATAAACTTCTCGACGTGGATTTTATTTATCCTGTTTCGCATAGTGCATGGGTATCGCCAATCGTGATAGTACCGAAGACAAATAGGAAAATCAGGAAATGTCACGATTTCTGGAAACTTAATGCGGCCACTAAGAAAGATTACTTTCCATTACCTTTCACGGACAGTATGGATAACATGTTCTCATTATCACCACTATGTAAAAGAATAGGAGTGAGGCACCAGTTAAAGTCATTCTGTGGTGTTGTTTTGGGTTGGCTGGAGTGTCATTTTCTTGTATTTCTTGTGTTTTTGAGAGTAGTAGTTCCAAATAAAAGTTAACAGTGAAGAGCCAGTCAGAAGAAAGAGAACGCATGGTAGAGATCCACAGGCAAGAACTATTCCGGGCTCGCAGTAATTCAATTTTGGAACTGAAAAAAGTGAAAGGTCAGTTGGTAATGGAACGAGAAAAGGCCGAGTTATTGGCGCAAGAGAAATTGGTATTGAGTGACCAATACAGATGTGAAACGGAGCAGTTAATGGCTGAAATTGAGGCCTTGAACGCCGAGGTGACAAGATTGGGAGAGGATTTAGTCAATATTGGTCAAGCACAAGTATCGAAGTTGCCAGTTCCCAAAGTTCCAAAAGAGAGGAGTCACTTTCAGCGCCAGTTGGAATTGAGAGATGCCCAGATCTTGAAATTGGAAGCTCAAGTCCGTGAATTGGGTGAGTACAATGAAGACCTTTTAGCTCAGTTGAGGCACAAGCCAATGGAAGGATTGGAAGAAGAAGAAGAAGATTTGCAGTTGGATCCGGAATCAGTGGAACCAATAACAGATACTATGGCAATTGATTAATTAGATAGGCCAGAGGAATCTTAATTTTTGTAGAGTTTTGTTAGATAATTTTTAGATAGGTATCAATTGAGTGTTTGCAAAGATGCTATACAGATAGGAGTGGAGCTATATAGAATAGATATTAATTTGTTTTTAAAAGATATTGGTAAAATATATTAATAGTCCATATAATAGGAAATTCAGGAGGAGGGATGAGTGATTTAGTTATTAAAAGCGATTAATTACAGAATTACGGTTAGAATATGGAGAATCAGGGGAAAGTATATAGGAGTTGTAGAAGTTAATTAAGGTGCTATCACTGTGATAGTGTAAGCCGGGGTAAGCTTCATGCTACCTCTTTTCTTTTGTTTGTTATTTTCTTTGAATAAGAGGATTGAGAGTTTTTGAATATTGTGAAGTGAATTATGGAATGGAAATATGATTGATATTATTTGAGAAGAAGAAAGTTTGAATGCTAAAATCTAATTATAGTTTAGCAGAGAGAATGACTCTGTGTTTGTGTGAAACATTGTAATGTGAATGGCAATTCTGTGTGAAGAATTCCAATGATTGGAACGAGGATAATTGTGTGCTGAAAGCTGTGAGGGTGCAATATTACAGTTGGAGATTATGAGGGTGAATATATTAGTGGAAATAGCAGTTATTGGTATGAATGAATTGCTGTAAGTAAGAGACCGATAAGGTGAAGGAGGAGATTATAGTTTCCTTGTGTGTTCAAATATTGGAAATAGAGACGATACATTCAGGAGGTAATTGATTGTGTGACCCTAACGTGAATGCTTAAGCAACTAGTCATTCCCCATATTCGAATCTCCTTATACAGGTTTATGCTCGGAGGTTTCTTCCGGAATAAGTAAAACAAGCAATCACACATAAGTTTAAGATTTTTATATGGTAATAAATTCAATAAATTCTTTCAATCAAAATCTTATTCTTGCTAAAGAATAGATATCCAACTTGTATAATGGTAATTTTTTTCTTAATTTATAAATAAATTTTAAATAATTTTAACATTTTTTTATGTATATACGTGCCTACTTGCTTGCCTAAATTTTTTTTAATAAAGATCAAAGAACCTTCATGACAAATTACATGACATCATAGTTTTACAACTAGAAAATTTGCAATTAGAAAAACAAGGACCAAAGAACCTTCATGAGAGCTAAAGAAAAAATGTTAGTATTAAAAGAAGGGATCTAAGAAGTCTAAAGCAAAGTGCCAATTGAAAAGAGGTCAAAATAAAATATTAGCATAATTAGACTACTATGTATTTAATTGGGATTGATTTTGAGACATGCCTAAATCAACTGAAAATTTCAACGACCAATACTAATATTTCCAACTTGTGAATTTGGTCCAAAACCTCACAATATTTATACCAATAGGGGTGCTACTCATCTACTATTAGATGTAAAACTTTCAAATTAGTGCTATGATGAATGAATTTATACAAAGTTACAACAAGGTACTAGCTTTGTATTTATCTTTCAAAACCTCAATCTTACATGTCTTTAAAGACATGATGTGAGAAGAATAAATCTTCATATTAGATAGATCTTATATATAATTTGAAAGAAGTGTATGGATTTATAAATTACATGACATCATAGTTTTGATTTCCTTGCAAATGTGACTTACAAAGAACATGTCTTTGAAATTGAGAGTACTCGAGTCAATAAAGGTATAGTTTATTCCTTGTAGTAGTTTTAATTTATTTGTTTTCAAATCTATAAGAAGTGATGTAAGAAGCAATTGTAATTCTAACATTGCATCAAATTATAATGTGTTGTAAATATCTTTGGCTTAAAAGATAATAGGAAGCTATACCCCCTACTTTAGTTGAAATGATCAACTATTTATTTAAATAATCTACACCAATTTGTATTTTTATAAATTATAGAATATCTAAATTCTTATCAAGTTGACGATTATAAAGAGAGTAGTGAGAGTTGACAAAGAATATGAAGTAATTGCTATTGCAAAGTTCATAACCAAAGTCTCGAAAGATGAAGAGATCTAACACCAAAGATTTTTTTTTTGGTGATTGCCAAAGTTACATAAGAAGATCCCACTACTATCATTACCAAAGTGCTAAACTACACCAATATCTATAATTAGTATTTATTATACTATTTACAATATATCTATAGAATATGAATGCTTAATTTATAATATGTATCATATTAAATAAATAAATATATTGATAATAGGATATTTAAAATAATATATATCATATTATTCAAATTTATATTTAAATAGTATGTAGACCATGCAAGATAAAAATAATAGTGCATTGCAATAATTTAGATTTATTTTACAATCTCATTATTTTGATGAAGGCAGAATCAACTTTATATTTTTATATTCTTTATTAGCGCTAATTTTGGTGTGGTTTAATTTCAAACATCTATGATTTTTAAAATCTCCTAATATTTTTTTTGACAGTAGTATATTTATACTATTGTAAATTACATTGTATAATTATTAGAAAGCCAATAACCAAGTAATTTATTTTTTGTTATAAACTATAACTTTTCAATATATCTTTTGAAGACCTATATTGATACATTGAGGCACAAATACTAATTATGTCAAATTTGAAGAAACCTTAAAGTACAAGGTGGCTTTTAATGTAAATAGAATGTTTGATCTAAGAGTACAAATTTTAATCTTTATCTAATCACTTCACTGCTCCTCTTCAAGATCTTTAACACTTTATTAAAACTAATGCCATGTGATCTTAGGTCTAGCTTTTGTGAGGTTCTATTAAGTAATAGATGTGATTCTATTTCAAAAAGTCTTGTTCATTTTGTTGTAGTTGAGCAAAAATCATTGATACAAATAAATAATCATTGAATAATGTTGTCTATAACTTCTTCCCTCATCTATCCTCTTTATCCTATAATAATTGACAATAAAAGTAGCAGAAGTGAATAGTGCATATCACAATCATAGAGCCCACATTCCATATATAGTTTATGTCACACTAATTAAGAATACACACTATTCAAGTTTACACACTAATTAAGGATATTGGTGTAGATAACCCAATGCTCTAATTGTCTGCTGATCACTTTCTTCATATTGGACGGTCTTGAATTTATCACATCTGCATATTTTTCTGAGGAACTCGACAGACAAACCACTTGTACTCAACTCGTTGATTCATGCAGGCGCTTAAGCAGTTCATCTTATGCACCTCTGCTGAAGGCCTCTTGCCAGCTTGAAACATGAGATTTCTGCGTCCACTTCCCAAATCAAGCTTCAAGCACAACAGTCTGCTAAGACCATTCTCAATTCACATTATTGTATTGGTCCTAGCAGACTGTGTGCTTTTTATTTGTAATTGTTTTAAAATAAAGGACTTGCTTTTTTTTTCCCACTACAACACACTTGTGTCTGTTTAGAGGCAGGGCTCTATTTCCTCCATTTTTACTCATGCCCATTAGTGTCAGACCTTTTTTTTTTAATTACTTAATCTCTCTACTCTTCATATTTATTTATTACCTTACTCCAATTTTTTTTTTTTTTATTGAAGAGGGCTTCACTGGAAATTGTCATAAAATAACACCTGCAGTGATTTTCACACCTAGCATTATTGCCTGTAAAAATATGGTTTACAAGAAGCATAAGAACAACACCACAATCTTGATACAAAGGTTTATGCAAGAGAGGTGAATGCTTTCGATACAACACAAGAAGAGAAAGATAATGCGAAAGAAAAAGAGAAAGGAGTTAAAGGAAGGAGGAGGAAAGAAAAGAGGGAGAGAGATTGGTACGGTTTGGGTTGGGGTGGAGGCTTGGGTGGGGGAGAAAGGCCCGGGGCCAGGTTCGGCAGGAAACCCTAAAAGCAAGCATCAGTGGGTGCTTGTGAGTTTGCAACGCCCAGATCATGCTCAGTCTCCTCATTCCTTTTTGTTGTGCTCGTCTCGCATTTGCTGCTCTGCTCTGCTCGATCCGTTTGCGGTTCATTGCCAGGTGTGCTTTGTCACACTCACATCCCTCCTCTCTCTCTCTCGCCACTACCATCTCACTGCATGTGTTGCGTCCGTTTCTTCTACTGCCCATTTGCTCACCATTGCTTGAGGAGCCTGTGTATTGTGTGCATGATGAAATCCTTCTCTTTGGTACATAGATGTGGCGTGAGGTTATCGGCCTAGAATTTTGTGCCAAGGCTTGTAGTTTGTCAGTTTTGGTTGGCTGGGAAATTTTCTGTTGTGGGTTTCTCAAGGTCTTGTAGATTCGCGCCTAGGGTATTGGCTGTTTCTCGAGTGAATTGTTAAGGTTTGTGGGGTTTTGGGGAAATTGGGTAGAGATTTTCCGGTTTTGTATGGGTTTCGTTGCCCTGGTGATGGGTTTGGGATGAATCAGCTGAATGTGATCATGCTGTGAAGGATATTTTCCTGGGCTTTGTGGTCATCGGCGTTGTTGGCCTTGCAAAGGTCCCGATCTTCTTACATCATCTCGCGTGAATTATGATGGAATATCTTTGTTGTGTTATTCTCTGTCATGAATTGTGTGTTTCTTCACCATTTGCTTGGTAGTGGCAAGCTTATTTCTCAGATCTGTGGATGAGTTTCGCTGGTGACTGTATTATTACAGCTTTCCTTTTCACCGGAGATCAGTTTGATGACAATTTTCCTACCGAATGCAATTAAGCATGGTAATGTCATAGCAGGGTCCGCGAAAACATACATTAGTTTTCTCTTCTATTTGCCTTTTGTGCCAAGCTTAGCATTCAGTGTGAGACAGAGGTCATATTTGAGATGGTGCTTATTCGGAATGTTTGGTGTGGCGAGTTTAGGACGGGTGCAAGTGGTTATCAACAAGAATGGCAGCGTTTCAGAGGCTGGGCGCATCGAGCAGGCTGCTCCGAAATGCTCCATCCCAGCTGACACAGACACGCAGTTTTGCAGGTAAATTTTAAATTCAACCTCATTAACTCCTACAGATATTTTACCATCTTCAAGCTGCCATGGGGCCTCTAGTAAAGGACATGCAAGGTTTGAAAAGTGTATGTAGTGTCGAGTGCTGAGTGGCAGTATGCCCAGTGGAAGGAAAACGATGATTTCGAAAAATGGATTTGGTTGTATACTCTTCAGTTGAGCGCTTACCTCTTACGAGGATACTGAGGAAAGGGAGTGAAAAGAAAATAATTGCGGCTTGACAATTTCATTTGGTGTACTAGAGCTGCCCCTCTTTAGAACAACTATAAATACTTTTCTTTCCCACCCCACTTCACCCCACGCCCCGTTCTTTTTTATTTTATTTTTGTTTGATTTGTCTTCTTTTTGTCTTTTGAAGTTTTTGGAGGGTTAGCGATGTACACCATGATCTATCCTTGTATTGCCTGAATGGCATAGTCTTACCCTTGTGGTTGGCAGGAGTTGGATTGCTTATGATACTGTCTTACTCCGAAGTCAGTCATAGTGAAACAATTTCTTTTCTTTTCTTTTTTTTTCTTTCTTTTTTCCACGAATAGGTTTATGTGAATCATCAAGAATTAGATATTACAGCAACCAAATTGTTTTATGACTAGGACATGGTCAAAAATTACTTCACACTATCGTATGCCTGGCATAATATGTTGCACTGGTTGTTTTTGACTCAGCTGATGCTCATGGACCAGCGAAGGTTCCAATGTGGGCTGCTCCTGGGAGCCCCTCCACATGGAAGGAAGAACACGTAAGCTTCTGTTAGTGTTCCTGTTTATGACGATTGCAGTTTATATTCCTTGTGATCAGTATGAGTATATTGTCTATTTATCATAGGACACTAACTTTAGGACCTTACGACTTTCAGAATCTATGGGAACTTCATTTTCAATAAGCGTTGCTTTAAATTTCGTCGTTACTGATCAATAACTGTATTGCTCCAGTTTGTGTTTGTTTCACTAGCAGGATGGGGAGCTCTGTTCTATGGTGGCTACAAGTTTTTCACTAGCGGTTCCAAGAAGGGTGCTGCTGAAGTCGTTGAACAGGTTAAAGCTGGAAAGCACTGAGGGCGAAGTAAAGCTGTTCTGTTTTACTGAAGAACTTTGAGTTCTGTAGATGAAATATGTTGGCATGGATTTTAGTGTAGAGGTTTCACACCCGGGGCCTGTATTGAATTGCTACCTAGTGATTCAAGGAGCATGTTGCAGTGTTGATGTCTTAAATCACTGTTAGCAGTCACAGTTCGCTTTTAGATGTTTGAGGCGTCCAGTGCACGGTTTATTTCAACCAGTGACACGCGCATTTTACACTAATGTAAAAGTGATGTTTGTGGCATCATCAGTGCTTGAAAAATGAAAGGGAAATTTCTAAATATATCATCTCGTGTTTATTTGTTTGATTTTGCCATGAGAAATTCTTGAAGTTATGTAATGGTCATAATTGATAACATCATTACAGTATTAAATATTTGAAGTAATTATACTCTCCACTTGGACGCATTCATTTATTACACACACTTGGCGGACCAAAATTTAATTTTGCAGATTGTGTACGTGACCGACAGTCCGTATCAAGGGCAATTTGAGAGTTTAATGATGTTGTTTTAATAAATGATTAGTCGATCAATATTTCCTACATGGAACTGCATGCTTCTGAGAAGAGGCACGCTGTCACAGCAATTGTCTGGACAGAGTATGCGGGCACTCCACCTCGTCGTGCATCTACGTTAACCTTTCTGTGCATAGTCACAGTCCAAAAAATATTTTAAAACTTCATTACGGTGCCCACACTTGTTACTTGCGATTGCACCCCTCTCCTCCGCAACCAGCTACACGTAACTTGCCGGCGGCGAGGAATACTGCAATTGATGTCAGATTTTTTTTTCTTCTGCTGTACAGAATTCGACTGCTGTCTTCAACCACAGTTGACGGGAGTTGCCACAATTGTGAATGATCACCTGTGCCACGACTTCTCCCATTTCTTTCTCGTTCTTTCCAGGGTCGCCTTCGCCGAGAAACTCCTTCATTATGAGATTGTCTAAGGATTTTGTCAACGTATAACATTTCTTGTTGGCCTTTTGTGTACTGTACAATGGAATTCTTTGATCCCTGAGGAGGATGCGGATGACAACCCATGCAATAGGTGTTGTCATCCGACACCGTGTTTGTCATTTCGATCAACGTTACAACGCAGCAGCTGATTGCCACTCCCCCAACTTCCACCAAATCATCACAACTCGACCTTCAACTTGCCTGACAAACATAAACTTGATCCTGCAATCAGACGAAACCAACAATTAAGCCCTGATTTGCATGAAAAACAGCACCTGCATTAAAATCGGTAAGATTGCTGAGGGCAATGTGGAAGTAATTGAACAGCAATGAGGGGCTTACCGTGACTGACCTGCGATCCAAACCCCAAGCCTTGCCTGCCTTGAATGAACCCCATCTCAACCACACTTTGCAGATCTCCGTTTCCACAAACCTGCATAGCAAAAAACATCAAAATAGGAACGTCAGCCATGATCAAAGCCCTGATTTCAGAGCTGCGGTGATCTCACATAGACGGAAAACTAGCCATGGATCACTTCAGCATGGCAATCTATTGAAGCATGTCGGTACCTGAGACAGAGGGTCGCCGAAATCATCCGCAGAAACCAAAGATCCCAGCGTCGGCATGCTCATGGAATGACGCAGATACGCATCGCAGACACTCTCTGCCCCCCTCATATCCAAACTGCACCCTGAGGACATGTGCATGGAGTGGTGGACTTGGCCATGATGCATTTCCCCGTATCCGCAAAGTGGGTCAGGACCCAGCAACGTCGTCTCCGGAGATCGTGACTGTAGCATGTCTTTACCCAGGAGGTCGTAGCTGTAGTCGAGCCGGGGATTGACGGCCGCCAGCTTCATGGACAGAAACTCAATCTGACGCTGGAGCGACTGCACGTAGTTGATGATCTCGTCCAACATGACGGCCTTCCCCGTGATCTTGCTACAGCCAGGCACGAGATCTTGCAAAAACTTCATGCGCTCGCTTATCTTTTCTCTTCGGACCCTTTCAGCAAGGCTGTGGCTGTCCGTGGCTTGGCCTCGTCGTGCTCGGACGTGAATGTAATCTTGCTTAGAAAGGTCTTGAGGAGGTTTCGAGGTGGCCTTCAAGGACCTGGGACTGGCAGAGTCGCCTGAATTCTCACTAGCACTGCGCTCCGCCTTGACAAGGCCCGATCGCTGCCGCTTCAGGGAGGTTTGTTCGTTAGCTTCCAGGGACTTGCTGTTTTTCCCGTCGGAGACAACGGATGACGTCGACGTCTTTCCTTTTTCCTCCGCTATTGAAGAGCCTTTACGCTTTCGTGGCGGCGCTGCGCTCCGGTTGGACTGCAGTCCAGTTTGCTGGGAGCCGGAAGAATTCTCCTGCGAGAGTCCGTCGCTAGACTCGTTCAATGCTGACGCTCTAGCGCGATTTGCTCCCTCAATGGCTTCCAGCCCAGCCTCTAAGTTCGGGTGAGCCTCGTCACGCTTGAGATTCATCTCCTCCTCCCCAAACTGGCTCATGTCCGAGTTGGTGCCCATGTTACCCAGCCGGTTGAAGCTGGAGCTTCGAGGGATTTTGATCTCATTTTTAAGCATTTCTCGTAGTTTCCCCGTGTCGAAGGCTGAATATGTTTGGGGCCGCTGCGCATAGTTCGAGCTGCCGAATGTGGAATACTTGGCCGCTCGCTCCGCGAAACTGGGATCGTACGACAATTGTTGTAGGGAGTGCTGCGTGCTGACCTCGTGAAGCGCCTGACCTCCTATGCTGGGATCCATGGCGAGGCTAATAGGATATTCCACTGCCCTGAGCTTGTCCATTGAAATGCTGGAACACCACCAACTGCACTAAAACGTAGAACAATTGTTTTCGTTACACCCCTGCCGACGTCCTAGAGATGTGATCTTCACTTAACACAATAGTCAGGTTCGTGATAGCCTGGCAAAAACGCGCACTATTTCTGTCAGAATAAGACAACGTGATACTTGTGTCGCAGCAGGTCAATTGCGTGTGAAGACTTAAAGCTACAGGGGTGAGACAACGAGAGAGAGAGAGAGAGAGAGAGAGAGAGAGAGCACTCAGATTCTCCGAGAAATGAAGGACACGAACATTCGATAACGACACTAATCCAGTGGGATTGTAAATTTTAAGCTTTTACAGAAGGAAGAGCGATCCCTCGCGTTCAGAACTTTTCGAACGGTTCATCCCTAGAAGTCATTCTCTGCAAGCGTTCTAATGCTAAGAATTAGTTATCACTCGTAACTTCAGAAGGATCTTTCTCAGAATTCTATCACTGTGGCATCCAGGATACATGTGGAAGTGTTCTCAACCAGGTGTGCCATCGTGCTGGCCGTGGTAGCAGCAAGAGTAGGAAGCTAGGAAGAAGCTCACAGACTTCAGAAACCCTCTGCAATAAAGATCGCAGAGGTAAAACGATTCACAAGAAAACCCAAATGCGTGCAGCAGTTAAAGAAAGGGTAGAACGGACATTCCGACACTGGGTCTCAGAAATCAGAGAAATAATGTATTGTGATCAAGTTGGGTAAAACGAGGTTGCACACAATGCACGGTGCCATGATATCCAATACTTCAGACAATTTTCTGAGATATGATCGGAATGCGTGACTTTGAAGCTTCTGTCCAGAAACCCAGCTTGGACCAGCTTGGACCAATTTGGATAAACCTCTATGGCCAGCTGCGACACACCAGCTCGCGATTACTACAGCTCAAAGAGCCACAGGGCAGCATCCAAAAGACTGTACTTCTCTTGAGACTTGATCTAGAAGCGAACCCATGACTTGATTAACAAAACATTCACCAAATCGATGTGGTCATGTATATTGGCCTTGGGATGAGAAAAATAGCCATACTCAATTGCAACAAATTAATTCCGCGGCAGAATGGTTATAACACTAATAAGTAGGAAGAGTAAATCACAATGAAAAGGTGACCAGAGGGTGCTAGCCAATCCTGCGCAGGCAATGTTGCAGCGACATTAAGTGCGATCAGTGCAATCTAGGGAAGGGAATAGAAGTAATTAAAGAGTGATCAGATTCTGGGCCGACGTTTGACAGACCCGCGAAGAACCGACAATGCGAACGTAGAGGATGATCGCATTTGGGGTTCACACACAGCTGCGGAGTGTGGAAGATTTAGTTACATTCTGACACAGAACCTATAAGCTAGAGCTCACCGACCGCATGAAACAAAAACTAAGTGAGGAAATAATTCATTTGACTAGTCTTACACGATCTCTAGTCACCGTCGGTAACGATGGCTAGAGGAATGATTAAGGAGTGAAATGAATTGGCGTCTGAAGTTGTGGCTGGCAGGAGAGATGTGAGGAAGAAAGTGGTGGAATGAGACGACTAAATGGTGCTCCTCCAGCAGTACTAGCTCCAGCTGCAATTACTGAAGGTGTTGGTTGTGAGCAAGAAACGGCTTCTCAAGTGCAATGAATTGTCTGAGCGCACCGATATGAATAAGGCGAGGACAGGCCACTCATTGCGGTTTCTTACACGGGAAAGCCATTCGGCCCATTGCGCAGTACTCATGGCTCATTCTTTTTCCATCAAGCCCTCTAGTGAGTGGGTGCCATCACTACCTCTTCCGTGCATACTTGTGTGCCCTCCTGACCTCTCACTCTCTCGATGGCATCACAGACAACTCAATCTCCCAGACACAAAACTCACACGCTGACTAATCGATCACCACAGCTTCCGTTACCTCTGATCTGTTCCCGCGCCTGTTGGTCTTGCTCGTGTGCAACCCACCAGCACTGATGATGGCCTGGTCTGGTCTCTGCCAACAGCTTTGTACTTCAAAGCTCCCGAGATTCAAGACTCGATGTCTTTGATAAACCCAGACTGGAGCTCCAGCACACAATGACGCTGTCGCACACTCTACCTTCTTCCTGATTAATCCCCTTGCCACCGCTGCGCTCACACCTTATACAGGTTCATTAGGGGCTGTACGTATTGTATAAGAGCAAAAAACAAGCATCATCATTGCTGATATTGAGCTACGTTGCTACCACGCCACCGATTCAAAGAGAAAAAGCTAATTTAACCAGTGGCATGCCTTCCAAACTCTGCTGAGGGGGGTGGTTGACTATGATCCACCGGTCAGGGACACAGGCAAGCATTAATCGGTCCGAGCCGGGCCTTCATGACGGCCATCATTTAACCTGATGAACAGAACGAGGCCCCTTGGAGACCATGCACACGGACTTCGACAACCACTTGACAGAGCAGAGAAGGCTTACGTCTCGATAGCTGGTTGCTGTGTGGAGGCTATCGGAGCGCACTGCTGCGGAGGGTGCGGCCATTTCTCTGGCAACAAAATTGGTTGTCATCTTTTACATACTATCTTCCTCCCTCGCAGATTCCCCCGCCTCTTTCTCCAAGTCTTTTACCTTTAGCGTTTGGCTTTTCACCGAAGGGCTGGCTGGGGAAAGTAACCCATCTTTCGAAAGATTGAATCGGAAGATGGGTTAGATAGTAACTCGTCCCCCATACGCTGGACCTCGAAATTCCAACGTCTGTCGCTTCTCTCCCTCGATTTTTACTTTTCTGCGACTGCCGCCGGGCCTCGTCACGCTCGCCCATGACGACGTCGACATGGGCGATACCGCTGCCGTTGCATGCTACTCCAAAGACCGTAGCTAAACACATTCTAGTTCAAATTAGGCTGCAAAATGCCAGTCACGTCCTTTTTGTAGTGCACTTTGCACTTTGCAGAGTTGGAATTCCGTGAATTGTCAGCCATGCATGACTGAATTGCATGGTGCCATTTCCTTCTTCCGATGACTGTGAGCCGGTGCCAAGCCTGACTTGCCCCCATGCAGTCTTTCATGCCCTCTCCCTGTTCTTTCCGCTCTCCACTACGATAATCCCTGTGGCTAGGATGATGCCATGCACGCTTTTGTCATGCTCCCTGGGATTCCCAGTTTGGTCCCAAACCCTAGCTGTAGCTGCGTTATGCAGGCTACAGGCACAACTAGCCAATATTGATCTCTAATCGTTCTGTCTTAAGATTTTTCTCACCTTTTGCCGTCGTAAAAATCTTTCCATTTTAGTTTTAAAATCTGACTTTAAGGGACCGTTTATTTATTAATGTAAAATTCGCTTGCAGGTCGCTTTTTTTTCTTTTTCTTTTGAAATCAGTAATTCAAGCTACTTGCTGCAATCGAACTACTCCGGGATCCAACCCCTGCTCAGATTTGAGAAACCGAATTCCTCACCAACAAGCTCAACAACAAAAGATCTCGACAATAGGAAAACCCGCGAGAGAGGATTCCTTATCTTCCTTACATCGAAAATTGGCATGAACCATAAATAACAGAAACGAGTTAGATAAATCGGTGTTAAAATGTTTAAAGAAAAAAGAAAAAAGAAAAACGCTTATATCCTTCAGGAATAAAAGGGGGGAATGGACTATTCGGTGCCGCAGAATCACTGGCCAGAAACCATGGATGGAGCAGAAGCGCGAGGACCCGCACACGCAAAATCTGTCGATAGAAGTGGGATACTGCTCTGCTACAGTGACGGGTGCTTCTTTTGTGCTGGGCGGGGCCGAAGCCTCACCTCGCCCGCTACTGTTGCCAATGTGCGACGTGAGCGTGAGGAGGATTCTAAACTAGGCAGACTGGCGGGACTCAGACCCCCCCAGAGTGATGCACCCCCCACCAGCCAAGGAACAAGCTTAGTGGACAACTGCACTCTCCTTCCCTCCTGTTTCACAATCCCATCTTACAATCCTGCCCCGCTGCCCGCTGCGAATCTATTTCCCTCCCGCACCTTATTATTAGCTCATTGTGTTCCATGCGTTTGCCTATAACTGGACCCCTTCAGAGTGTGGAAAATTAGCCGTTTTACTTATTTAGACCCTCCCCAGTTCGTCTTTTAACGCAATGCAGCAACCCACACAAACTGACTGGGAGCTCACCATTGTGATCCATCGGAACGGCGGTGGAGTGCTTTGCGCTTCCGAGGTGAGTGCATCTCCCCGTAGGATTCCTGCAGAAAGTATGAGAATATTCCCTTATGCCTCTTTGCTTCTTTCCACATTCATATGCAAAGGCAACTGAAACAATGTAAAAACACTCTGCCCCCTCCCCCGCCTCGGCTTAAACTTAGATGAATGAATGAAGCGTCTACGTGGACTTGAGATTGTTCGTTCATCCTGAATGGCGTCATTCTTCTCAGTGACGCTGACGGCCGTCCTCTGCCGTGGACTCTGTTGGCTGCCGCAGCCCCGGCCAGGTACGCCCCATCTTCACCCGTCCTTTCGTACCCCCCGCTCTCCCTTGAGTAAAGGAACACCCACCTTCTCCAAATGGCAAGTTTTTGCCACCCTGTACCCGCTGTGCGGTCCGGGGTTTGACCTTGCATCCGCGCGACACTTGTCCACTTCTGGAGTCACTCCCGAGGATGAACGTGGGAGTGTGTTGAGTGGATGTGGTGGGGACAATCATCCATCTATACATCTGTTGATGGATGAATCATCCACTATCTGATTTCATGTATTCATCCATCACGACGGGGCCCATTTTGGAGTGCTGGAACGGATGTGGCAGACATAATCATGATTGGATGAAGATATGTGTTCATCCAACCACTCCGGGGCTAAAAGGCAATGAACACCTTTTCCTGCAAGAGAAAGCTTTCTTTTTATTATCTAAAGTTTTAAAAAGTAGCTTTCTAAGGTTCACGTTGATGTTCCCCATTCACTCAGAACTTGGCTTCGCTATTCTTAAAATATCAACTCTTTGTACTGTTCTCAGCTTCTGTGCAACGTCAACAAGAGTTCACTGAAGAATTTTCATAAACAAATAGAAACAATAAAATTGAGCACCTAGAATTGCAATATCTCAAGTTAAATATTTGTGAAAAAAATTCGTACTATGTCATAGCCAAGAACCAAAATTATTAGATTCTCTCTTTGGGAAACTTCTAAATAAGCGGTATATGTTTTTCCAGTTAAACTGTGTTCACTGAAATGTTAAATAATGTTTTTTATTCCATAAATAATTAAATAACCAATGTAAAAAACTTGAATCAATTTTTTTTGATTAATTTCATATTCTCCTACAGTATACGTAATAAGAAATAAAAAATATTACTTTGTAATTTATATATATTCAGTATTGTTTGTGCCCTCCAATAGCACACCATTAGGATATTGGAACAATCTAGTAATTTAATTATAGAGTCCAATCAGGCTTATTTCAAAACACATTTCTAATTTTAAAGAGATAGATTGACATGTAGCAATATTGAGTGCTGTAAATGTGTATTTAGAAGTGCTGTTGCATCATCAAGAATCTTTGACTCCCTTCTTGTCGCTGCTTAACAATAAGGATCACAATAAGGAAACATTCTTTTTCAACATTACCCTGTGTGATTTTGTAAAATCTTCCCATTTTTCTTCTTACCTGATCCCATTTTGCAAACTACAAATTTAGACTTGTAGGTATGTTTTTACAGTTCTGATTGTTTGCAATATATATAATTTGAGGTTTTCCAAATCCTTGATTAAAATACATAAATAAAATTTAGTATGTATATATGTTTATAAATGAAATTTTTAATATTTTTTTCATATGCCTTTTTTTTTTCAAGCTTAGAAGTTTAGAAACACGTAAATATATATATATATATATATATATATATATTATGTGGCTAATATCACCACAATTTGCCATCTACTACATGTCATTACAATTTGTGCTAATACCACTAAAACTTATTTTTATTTTTTAATGAATTTATATTTATGTTTTATATGATTTGAAAAAAATAAATACATTAAAAATATTACATCTTCTTTTATATATATATATATATATATATATATAGAAAATATTACCTCTTCTAAGTTTTTCTCAAAAAAATGAATCCAAAGAAAGAAAATTCAATATATTCTTGTGTCACTTGAAAACATTAGAAAGTCACTCAAAGATGGTAATATATTGAATTAGAATAGCTATTGCCAAAGACAAGAAGATTAGAAAGTCTTGAAACAAGATTAAGGACTATAAAGTGTTGATAAGAATGAAAAAGGCTTCACTCTTGCATCCATATATACTATCTAAGTATGAGCAATGTGGAAATATTCTATAGGACCTTCAACTTGTATTTACTTTGTAAAGCACATATCTTAACTTATAAGATAAGTTTTCTATATGTCCACTATATAGCTAGCTTGTTTTACAAGCAACCAACACATGTGATATATGATTAATTTATTGACCAAGTTTCTAACCTATCAATCAAGTATAAACACATGTAAAGTCAAAACTATTTCTATGAAACTTTTAAGAAGCTTTTCTAAAAGTTATTATGAAATTAATCTACTTTTACCTACTTCTATTTAATTATGTACATAATTATTGGAATAAATATGTATATTTGTGACATTATTCTCTATTTTAGATAGAAATTCAATGAAAAGCAATCATCATCTTTTCAAAGTTTTTGCTATTTTTTAAGATTTGTATAGAAGTAAATTCCTTCTTCAAAGCATCAAAGAATGCTTTAGCTTCTTTACTCCATTCAAGTTTGTCATTACAAATCAAATGTATAAATGAAGCTGTAACTTGAGAAAAATTCTTGATAAAGTTCAAATAGTAATTAAGAAAGCTCAAAAAGCATTACACATCTCTTATTGTTTATAGAGTCTTTCAATCTATGATAATTTGGACCTTCTTAAGATCCATCATAAGACCATCGTTTGAATGGCGTATAAAGTTTTTAACTAAGTTCTTGTCAATATATTCCTTGAGTGCAATCAATTCATTTTACGATAAGCTATAGATCGGCTCAAATAGTAGTTGAGCTCCTTCTTGCAAATAAATTGAATAATCATAAGATCAATACTCTAAAAGAATATCTATAATTTTCTTTTAAAAAATGTCTCAATAATCTTTGTATTGGCTAAGAATATCACTTGAGATCTTTTTTCTATTAATAATAGGTGTGGAATTTATAGCAAAAGTTTATCCTTCTTTTGAAGTATGTATGAAAGCTCTCACATCTATCAATAATAGTTTGGATATATTAGTCTTATGAATTTCTACTTGCCTTGCAAAATCTTCAGCTAAACTACAAGAAAAATTAATGCTACCAGAAATCTAGTCTATTTGAAGGTTATACTTTTTTAGCCACAATAATCTTAAAATAATTAGATTAAAAAGATATTTAATGATATTAAATATTATTACATTATTATAACCACTAATTACTATATTTAGATAAATAATTTTATGGATTACATCTCTAAAAGATAACAACTATCAATTACTTCTATGTGCACAAATTTGGTTTTTTTAACTAAGGATATATCTTATTTTTGACAGAGTCTTTGTCTATAAAATATATTGAGGCTCTCAAATCTACTAAGGTTAAGAGTTTGTGATTTTTTTTGTCTTAAAAAAACTTCTATTGGAAAGTAAGATGAAGGATTTGAAGAAAGAATGGGACCTCTACTAGATGTTAGGTAAGATTTTAGCTACATGGTTTCTATTGTAGCTAGAGAAACTTATTTTTTGACACCTTGTCCTCTTTGGCAACTATGCTCTCTATTTTGTGATTACATTGTTTGTTTAAACAATGTTGAGGAGTGTGCTTGGGTTCTATATAATATAAGCATAAACATTCT